GTCACATCAGCAGGTGCAAGTGGAGGAGTGGGGAATCAAACCCGGTTCTCCCAGATTAGAGTCCGCCCACTTAACCGCTACACCAAACTTGCTCTCACTACATCAAACTGGCTTGCTTACTTGCTCTGTGTCTTGAGCTAAACCAGGGATTAAATATGAATTAATTTTTCTATTTACTTAGATCTTCACCTTTCTCCCCAGCGGGGACCCAAAGGGGCTCATGTTGTCCTCCTGTCCTCCATTTTATCCTCACAACAACCCTGTGAGGTCGGTTGGGCTGATAGGGCGTGAGTGGCCCAACGTCACCCCACAAACTTCTGTGTCAGAGTGGGGATTCGAACCTGGGTGTTCCAAAGTCTAATCCAACGCTTTAAATGGGTCGGCCCTGGCTAGTTATTTGGACGGGAGACCTCCAAGGAATACCAGGGTCGTGACGTGGAGGCAGGCCATGGCGAACCACCTCTGAGCGTCTCTGGCCTTGAAAACCTTACAGGGTCACCGTCGATGTTCCCTCTAAGCTGTGGTCCTGTGAGCAAAAATTCTACTTTGTGAGCTACTGGCATTAAAGTTGTGAGCAAGCGATTTGGCTACTGCATCAATTAGTTTGCTCTGGGCCAGTGTTCCCTCTAAGCTGAGTTGGTGTGAGCCAGCTCACAGGTTTTTAGCCTCTGGCTCACACATTTTTGTCTCAGCTCAGGAAGGAGGGCCCCAGAGCAAACTAATCTATGAAGTAGCCAAATCTCCTGCTCACAACTTTAATGCCAGCAGCTCCCCAAGTAGAATTTTTGCTCACAAGACTCCACAGCTTAGAGGGAGCATTGCCTCTGGGGCCCTCCTTTCTGAGCCAAGACAAAAATGTGCGAGCCGGAGGCTAAAAAACTGTGAGCTAGCTCACACTTAACTCAGCTTAGAGGGAACACTGGCTCACCGTAAATCAGCTACGACCTGACAGCAACTTCCACCACCATGAAGCACATGAAGCCGCCTGCTACTGAATCAGGCCCTGGGTCCATCAAAGTCAGTATTGTCTACTCGGACTGGCAGCCGCTTCCCGGGGTCTTAGGCTGAGGTTCCCCTCGTCACTTACAACCTGATCCTGATCGGAGAAGCCGGGGATCGAACCTGGGGCCTTCAGCACGCCGAGCAGATGCACTACCCCTGAGCCACGGCCCCTCCCCTTGAACCACCACACCCCTTTAACTACTACACCATGCAGGCTCTCCAGATAGAATACGGAGCCTAAATCCAGGTGGGGTAGCTGTGTTGGTCTGAAGCAGCAGAACAAAGTCCCAACAAAGTTTTCTTTGCGGCCAAATCTTTTGTGTGCGAGGACCCTTCGTCGCTCAGCCTAAAGGTGGGCTGGAGGAGGGTTCCGGAGTCAAGCAAAGGGGCTCTGCTTCCAAAAGGGCAACTTCACAGGGGTTTAGTCTGAGCTGGGGCAAACGAGGGCTTGGCTCCAGACCCCGTTTTCAAGAAGAACCCCCTGGGGCAGTGTTCCCTCTAAGCTGAGTGAGTGTGAGCCAGCTCACAGTTTTTTAGCCTCCAGCTCACACCTTTTTGTCTCCGCTCGGGAAGGAGGGCTCCAGAGCAAATTGATTTCTGCAGCAGCCAGATCGCTGGCTCACAACTTGAACGCCGGTAGCTCACAAAGTAGGATTTTTGCTCACAAGACGCCACGGCTTAGAGGGAGCATTGACCCCGGGATAGGGAAAGTTCCAGGTGGGACCTGGGAATCGCCCAGAATTACTGCTCATCTCCAGACTACAGAGGAAGAAGAAGAAGAAGAAGAGGAGGAGGAAGAGATTGGATTTATACCCTGCCCTTCGCTACCTGAAGGAGCCTCAGAGCGGCTTACAATCCCTTTCCCTTCCCCTCCCCTGAACAGACACCCTGTGAGGTAGGTGGGGCTGAGAGAGCTCTTTCCAGAACTGCTTGTGAGAGAACAGCTCTGAAAGGACTTGTGACTGACCCAAGGTCACACCAGCAGCTGCATGGGGAGGAGTGGGGAATCAAACCCGGTTCTCCCAGATTAGAGTCCGCGCTCCTAACCACTACACCAAACTGGCTCTGGAGATCAGTTGCCCTGGAGAAAATGGATTGTTTGGAGGGTGGACTCTATGGCATTGTAGCCCACGAGGTCCCTGTCCTCCCCAGACTCCATCCCCAAATCTCCTGGAGTTTCCCAACCTGGATTTGTCAACCTACACCCCCATCCCCTGCCGATGGCCAAGGGGGACCTGGCAATCCTAAAAGAGTGCTTCTGAGCCTATGCAGAGTACTTTCCCTTCACTCCTGTCAGCCAACCCCTTTAGAGGTGTAGGGGGAAATGTTTCCGGGGCAGAGGGTGTGACTTGCTGACAGGGTTTAAGCTTTACTTATGGGCTGGCACTATTGTTTCAAAGTAAACTGTAGCAGAGCTGTGGAATTCCTTTCGGGGGCGGGGGGGGGGAGAAGCCCAGATATTTCAAAGGGAAGCCCAACAGCTGCAAATGCCTGGATTGGCTTCGTCAGGAGAGCGAGCGGGAGACCGACGGACAGACCTGAGAAGGAAAAGGAAAAACTTACAGATCCCCCGATAGAAGAAGCGCTCCACAACAGACGTCAGCCCGGCCAGCCCCTTTGAGCGTCCATCCTTGCCGAAATCTCGAGACGCAAAAGGCAACGATGCAGGATTAGAACTCGGGCAGCTGATCTCGAGTGGTCCGCCGTCGGCTGGGATTCCTTTGCCTCTCGGCCTCTCAGCCAGCTGCGATGGTCATCAAAATGGCAGAGGCATCATTTGGAATGCCTCCGCCCGGGAACGCTTCTCCAGGAAGGAGGAGGAGAGAAAGGGATGGAAAAGTGTTCAAATTAGGAGGAGGGTGACCAGTCAGGGTGCACTGGACGAGGGAGAGAAGAGAAGTACCGCCACAGCTGCGGCTGTAAAAGTCCCGTAGTTAAGAATTCCCTCCTCCTCCTTAGACATACAAATCTTCACAAATTTTTCAACATTATCTTGATGCTTGAGATGGGAGGAAGAAAGGGGGGGGAGGTTGGCCAGAGGCCCAACCAAGCTCCGTTGACGCAAGGAGTGAGAGAGAGAGAGGGAGAGAAATTCACTTCTAACCTCTGTGAACTGAACAGAAATTCACTCATGTTTCACAGTAAAGGGACTCTGGTCTTCAGAGTCCTCCAGGCACACTGGCCGGTTCAGGCACGGAGGGCTGAAAGTCATGACCTTTGACCCTTCTCCCTGTCTAGGACCAACCCAGGTCTACTGTTCTTCTCAGACGGGTGTGAGCCTTGATTTGAAAGGAGTAGCCTCAGTCCTTTGCTATGTCTTAAATGCTTGTGCTTCCTGCGTGGCTGAGAGTTGAGCGGCTTTAGGGCTGCTATCTCCAGGTTGGGGATTTCCTGGAGATTTAGGAGCAGAGCCCAGGGAGGGGGGTGTTTAGGGAGGGGAGAGGGCAAGGATGCAGTGGCACAACATCCAGCGTCTGAAGCTATAGAGGAACTGATCCCTGTAGTCTGGAGATCAGTTGCAATTCTTCAGGACCCATCTAGAGGCTGGCTGGCAACCATAGCCCACAGCACTTTCTGGACTATTGCAAAGGATTCTGGGGCATAACTCTAGAATCACCCACAGCTTCGCTTGCAGCCCAGGTATTTATTTATTTTAAATACTTATTGGCTGCCTTTCTTCCTTACGGAGCTGAAGGCTGCTTATAACATAGGTAAAATACATAAAAATAACATACACGAAAACATAAAACCCGAAATTTAAAACTGCAATTCGTCAGGGCTACTAGTAAACCTAATTAAATGGGGGCCTAAATAAAAAACAGCTTCAGCTGCCTCCTAAAGGTCAAAAGTGAAAGGTCCAGGTGCACCTTCCTGGGAAGGTTCTTCCGTAATTGTGGGGCTGCCACTGAAAAGACCCTTTTCCCCCCTTGTTCCCACCAAATGAGCTTGTCTGATTGGTGCGTCAGTCAGGAGATCCACTCTCTGTGATCTTAATTCCCAGGCAGGAACCTATGGGAGAAGACGGTCCTTTAGTAATGGGCTATGGAGTCCTATATCCCAAAGATGTGCAAATAACAACAATAGCAATATAATCATAACAGCGCTGCATTTAGCTGCAAAAAAATTCCAGTTACTGAACTATGGAAAAGCAAAATACTCAGTATAACAGATATGGGAAATTTTAATAGCTGACACAGTGAACTAAAGCCGCATAAAATTCCTCTTCCATGAATGTTTCGGAAAACGGGTTCCCTTATGTATCATTTGTTAATTCAAATAAGCAGGGCTTTTTTGTAGAAAAAGCCCAGCAGGAACTCATTAGCATAACAGGCCATACTCAACAGCAGGAACCCCTGTTAGCCGCCCTGAGCCTTCGGGAAAGGGCGGGATATAAATGCAATAAATAAATAAATAAATAAACAATTATTCGCATATTAGGCCACACCCATGACAGCACAGCTCATTAGCATATTAGGCCACACACCCCACGTTACCAGAAGTGTGCTCATCCAGCCACACTCACCTTTTGCTTTTTATTCTGTTTACCTTGTTTGTTGTCAAAACCCGGGGCCTTTTTTTGTAGCAGGAACTCCTTTGCATGTTAGGCCACACACCCCTAATGTAGCCAATCCTAATGAGTTCCTGCTCTTGGGTGTGGCCAATTATGCTAATGAGTTCCTGCTGGGTGTGGCCAACTTGGGAGCCAGCTGGAACTCCGTTCCTGTGCGTTCCTGCCCCAGAATATCCCTGCAAATAGGAAATTTGGCACTTGCCCCGAAAGACAGATGGATGGACATAGTCTTTTAGTCTTCATAAAAGTTATGTAAAACGCTCTAACTCTATGATAGGAGCAACTTACTTTATGTTAGTTAAGTTCTTGCTACATTGGACTGACCTGCTGAAATTCCTAACCTCATGTTATATAGTATTGTATTCAAATTATCTGTTGTCAGCGTTTACAGGAGAATGATATGAAAAATTCAAAATAAAGAGGTTTCTTTAAAAAAAAGACTGCATGGTCTATAGTTGCCCTGACCTGCATGGCCCAGCTAGCCCAATCTCATCGGATCTTGGAAGCTAAGCAGGGTCAGCCCTGGTTAGTATTTGGGTGGGAGACCACCAAGGAAGTCCTGAGTGGCTCCACAGAGGTAGGCAGGGGTCATTTCGTAGAAAAAGAGGTGCAGGAGCTCATTAGCATAACTCATCTGCATAACTTATTAGCATATGCCACACCCCCTGACATCACCGGAAGTGTGTCAGAAGGCAACACCCACCGCTCAGGCTCCACTGGACTGTTTTTGATT